TGAAGTGTAGTTGATTCATGTAAGAATGAGAGTACCCAATATCAATGCAGAAAGGTATTAATTGTACCATCGTTACAAGCTTCTATCATATTAAATTATAACATTCTAAACCTTAAGATGGCAATCTTTTAAATTTTGTAACGAACTATTTTACCCAAGTTTAAGCTGTTGTGTATCTTTATTTTCACATGGAAAGGTGGAGAAAGTACAGAAAGGATGACAAGCCAACATCCATCGAAATATAACGGCATTCGTACTGAGGCCACACCACCTAGACCTCCCCCCATGTTGGCATCTAGCCTCCACTCCAGGCCGGTCCATGATAGTAAGTGCTTTGATATATGTTTGAAGTGCTCTCAACAGGCCAAAAAAGACTTCAATAAGATAACACAAATGTTTTTAATGGGTAATTTCATGTCAGATTAACCAATGCTTCTAACTTCACATAGACTTTGATAAAATTAAACATACTGCACCAACCTTGACAGATCTTGAGAGTGATCAGTGATCAATGTTGATCAGTGTCAAAATTGTCAAAGTCCAGAGTTTTATACACACATGTTAACAATGATTTTGAGATAAGTTTGAGATGCTGAAAACTAAAGAAGAATAATACTTGTTGTACCAAATTATTGTATTTAATAACATTGTTGTAGAGATTAATGAGCTAAAAGTCGTCCATTCATTACCAAATGGTTTGAAGAGGTGCATAAGTGTCATTTCAATTTTTAACAGATTTCCAAATGAGTATGCTGATGAGGTTAGAAGAGGTAATTGAGAACCAAAAGGACATGATGAGGATGTTGAGGGTGTTGGCAAGTGCCTCAAGAGGAGTGGGGAACCCTGACCTGCAGGAGGATGTCTTGGCTTCCCAGCTGGACAGCGTGGCAGAAGTTGCGACACTGGAAGAGAAACTGAGAGATGGCGACTTCAGAAAGAAAATGGTAATTTCGTTGTGGAACAACATATAACTTTAATGTATTTATAAGTAACTGAAGTAAGTGTGTGAATGAAAGTTTTGTGTAAGCAAATGTTGAGATCAAACTATTGTGCAATTTGAGACCTTTTCATGTTTTATGTTTATTTTAGGTGGATCAGCATTTATGCACATATTGAATTGTATTTGATTGTAATTGTTGTTCTGCAGGTGAACTATTTGACTAGCCTCTGTGGGCATAGCTGCGGAGACAGTGTCCGCCGTATATTGAGGAAGCTGGGGAGCAACAACTTGTGGTCGCACTACAGTTTGAAGGGCAGGAAAGGGAAACTGCCCTTAAATATCCTGCTTCTCTGCAAAGTGATGATAAGTATGTATGGTAAATATAGTGTCCTACTATTGATATAAATTACTGTTTAATTATCAGGCAGTAGTCAGGTAGACATGTAAATACTCATTATTGATTGACAGAAAAATGTGTAGGCAGGGCACAAAATTCCACCAGCCATCACAAATTTAGAAAGTCACAGCCATCTTGAAAGTCATATTTCACGCTTGCATTCTCGATTTCAAATTTGTAAAATGTTGATCAATTATGGCGTGATATCCTTCAGCTAAAACAGTAATATAGGCGCTGGTATTTGCTCATTAATGCTTTAAATAAAAATGTAGGTACTCGCTAACATATGGCTGAAACACACCGTCTCGGAGGGCCGATGTTTTGCAAATGTTATCGGCCCGCCAAATAATTTGCCGGCGTATGCCGGTGAGCCGGTGCTAATTTCGGCCCTGTGTAGGTGTTAACCATTCTCCCGGGATAATGTCTGGCAGAATACTGGCCATTATCTAATTGAACATGTGTGCATAACCAGTTTATTATATCGCAGATCTAAATTATGTCTGCTTTTATTCAGAAGCCTGCATCAGAGCTCATAAGGCCAGAGAATTTGAAGTTGAGGAGTGCATTGCCAAGACACTCAAACATGCACCACACAAACCAGGAGGAGCAAAAAACATGGTAAGAATGATGGAAAAGTTGTATTCATACACAGGCAGATGTACTTAATTGTGAGATGTGTGAAATGTAGAAAAAAAACATTGTCATGCTTGCTCATTTCCCATCTACTGCATTTCAAGTGAAGAAGTATTTCATGCCATTCTACAGAAAGTTATTTGTAACAATATTTGATTGTCAGTTCAATATTTTCAATTTCACAACGATATATTAGATTTTTACAAAATATATGTGATTTGGAACAGGGAAAAATAACAAATTCGCATATTCTTGAGGCAATTTTTTTGTTGCATTCGATTCTGTAGCAGTTAATTTTGATATATTTTGTATGCTGGCTAGTATGGAAATTATTTGGTAGAAAAAAAAATTGAAGCAATATATATTCGATTTTCTGTAGCAATATGGGTATAAATTTTATCAAGCAAATATTTATGTGGATGGCATACTGCTAACATCTAAACAGCCGCATATCCATTGCATTCTGGTAGCAATACATTAGCATGCTTTGTGTGTATCTCAGAACGGCGTACACGTCGGGACAGGAGCCGATTCAGCGCGCGACACTGATTCAAATTTGAATAGCAGACAACACACGCCTGAACCCTAACCTCTAACCTACTAACCCTGCATCTAACAACAAAAGACTATAGCACGAATTAAAAATAACTAACTAGTATTAAAAACCTAATTTTTATTGTGTTAACGTAATGTTGAAAAGTTAGCTCTTGTAATTAAAAATGGGCAAAATTTAAAAACGCCTGTATATTGTAATGTGTATTAATGTATTGTATATTCTGTACATTTGTATGTTCTGTATATCTGTATATGTTGTTATATTGTATGTTCTGTATATTGTTGTACTTGTATATAATTTAAAAATAAAAAATTGTCAACAAACTAATTTTAAGTGTTATTTTGTATTTTTTGAACTGCATAATCAGTTGTGCACAACATAATTTTAATTTTATATTAACATAGTTTTTATGGCAAATAAAATTACAAACTAAAATTATGCATTCCATGAGCAGAATGGGCCTATTATCAATTTGAAAGCGTATGTTACATGTCAACTTTCGCAATGCTCATCATCATGTCTTTTCTGCTTTAATTGAAAATTAAAATACCAAAATTAGAATTAATTCTTTTGAAACGTGCACACATGGTTGCCAGGAATGTTGCGTAAGCAACAGTTGTATCACAACGTTGTGGACACACGTTGCAGGGGAGTTTAGCAGAAATAAACGTTGGGCCAACAAGTTGCCAAACGTTGCAACCAACGCGTTTGTATCAACAACGTTGTGGCAACGTTCAGGGGAGTCCACAAAATAACGTTTGCCCACAACGTTGTATCACACTGACGTTTTCACAACGTATAGTGAAACGTTGTGACAACGTTGGCCTAACAACGTTAATATTGTTAGCTGGGAGTAGTACTAGTATGGTAGTAGTAACTATGTAGAGAGTACTACTTACTAGTACTACCAGGAGTAAGATAAATAAATAGATCTTAGAAATTATAGATTATAATATATATTTTATATATATATAAATTATATTATAAATTATATTAAATATATATTATAATATAGATAATATAAGTATCTATATATCTTACTCCGCTGGTACTACTAGTAGCAGTTAGGCAGTAGTGACAGTAAGTAGTAGTAGTACTAGTAGGCCTATAGCAATTATTATTAGTAGTAGGCATACTAGTTTACTACTACTAGTCACTAGTACTAGCTATACCTACTGGTAGTACTACTTAGTCAATTAGTATACGTGACAGTTAGCTATAGTTAGTAAGTGGTTAGAGATAAAATTGGTGCCTATGCATTATTGGCAATTATTGCATACAATTCATATCATACATCAGTTATTGCTGGTCATGCCATATGGACATATATTAGTCCGAGTTTCCTCTGAGCCAATGCCCACACC